CTCTGACTAAGGTGTAGCTTCGGGTTATGTTCTGGCTCGTAGCCTCTCTCCATATGCCAAACGTGTTTTTCCATATCTAGCTGATCTCCTTTCCTTCATTTTCCCAGCATTCTGCTTTCGTCTTTCATCTCATATTTATCCCATTGGCTTAGTTTAAACTTTTAATCTTCTATTTCTCATTTACAATTTTTTTCCTTTTATATTACTATTGACCATTTTATTCATAGTTATTTTCTCTTCCATACTTGATGTCTGACTAATGCCTCATGTCTTTGGAAATCATATGTATAATTTTTACTATTGCTTATTAGGTAATAGCTTATTTTGAAGTTTATTTGTACAGCTTTTAGTATAAGCCCATGCTTATCTGAATTTTAATCTATAAGACTTCTAAAAACCAAAACTGCTTTTGCCCAAAAGTTGTTTTTAATTTTCATGTTCTAAATGCCAGAAGTAATTAGTTTTTCATGTCAGTGTGTGGTTTCCTGGAATACTTAGTAGTATAAATCTGATCTACAAATCAAAAATAGATATTGCTGCTTGGTAGATTCTTAGAAGTAGTTATTGCTGCACTGTTAACAGCATTGGTAATACTAAGTTCCATTTCAGAATTGTTCTACCTTTTGAAGTTGAGGCATAATGCAGATGTTAATTTCATCATCAGAAACCACACAGTTAAATTGAAAGAAACAAACAAAATAACAACAACCAAAAAAAAAATCCTTACAAATTCTAAAATAATCTCACAGGGGCCGTGGGTGGTTCAGTGGTTAAGTGCACTTGCTGCTCTTCCAGAGCACCTTGGTTTCATTATCAGCACCCACATAACAGCCAACAACAATTATTAATTCTAGCTACAGGGGCTATAATGCTTTCTTCTGACCTCTGTGGGTGTTACACGCACGTAAGGTACAGATGTTCAGTTAGGCAGACATACACGTAATATAAAATACCATAATTTAAAATTAATCCTGCAATCTATTTGAAGAAGTTTGTGGTTTTTTCTTGGGGTGGTGTTTTAGCTGTCTCGCAGCGTGAGCCACAGGCAGCATGTGAGCACGTTGGCATCACTAGTCCGTCTGTCACTGGCAGTATGCGCAAGGCTGCATCTAAAAAATCTTACTGTTAAAATACATTGCAGAAGGGACTGGCGAGATGACTCAGCAGTTAGAAGTGCAAACTGCCTTTGCAGAGAATCAAGAGTTCAGTTTCCTGCATCCATGGACCCACATCAGGCAGCTCACAACTCCTTGTAACTCTGGTTTCAACGAGTGTGGCCTTACCTTATAGCTTTTGCAGGCAGTGCACTCATGTGAAAACACACACACACATACACCTACACACACACACACACACACACACACACACACACACATACCTACACACATACCATTTTAAAAATAAAAATAAGGCCTTCAAAGAAAATACATATTATTGAAGTCTGGAGATACTACAACAGATTGTCCTCTTAAGTGGCATACAAATGCATCTTCTGACTGGCTAATTCAAGACTTAAGCATTCAGGGGGAATGTACTTTGATAGATCCTGGGTCTGTGGGGTTCTGTAATAATCTATAGATTCTTCTCTGATGTAGATGTTTTATTCAGTAGATAAGGAATGTTCCGTAGTTGAAGAGTTTACTTTGCATGATGTTTATCAGTTTAACATCTAAACTAGTATTTTAGGATCAGAAAGATGGTTTAGTGGTAAAAAGGATACCATCCATATAACACATCAATATGCTGTCTTGTGGAATTGTTTGAAGATTGAAATTATTGTAAACTAATGGCTAAGAAACAACAGATTGACATAGATTTAAACAGTAGGAAAAAATAATCTCTTGTTAACTAAATGAATGCAAAGTGCTTTAATTTCCCTGTGTACTAGGACCACCATTTGCCTAGAAAGTGTAAGCTGGTGTTGCTCCTTCATGGGAAGGCTATGTCTGCACAGTTACACTGAGTAATCCAAGACACCTTGATTAAGGTATCATCCACTGCAGCTCTAAGATCTGTTTGAGTTTTAAGGAACACTCTAACCGGTGGTGTTGTGGAATGTTTACCTGTGTAAAGGTGTGTTACATTTATTTATGCTGCATTTGTTTAATTGTGAAAACATGTGTTGCATGTGTTTTACCTTGCCTGCCTAAGGCCAATAGCTAGGCAGAAAAGGATAGGCAGGGCAGAGAGAATAAACATGAGGAGAAATCTAGAAAAAAGAAAGAGGAACTAGAGAAGGAAGGAGGAGAGAATGAGGGAGACAGAAAGAGACACACCTGGCCCCAGAAACCAGGCAGCAGCCAGCCAGACACACAAGCAGTGAAAGTAAGATATACAGAAGAAAGAAAAGTGAAAATCCCTTCCCGGAGGCAATAGGTAGATAAAGAGAAACTGGTTAAATTTAAGGAGGTAGCCAGAAATGGCCCTAAGCTAGGCAGAGCATTCATAACTAATGAATGTCATGATTTGGGAGCTGGCTGTTGGCACAAAAGAAAAAGCCTGGTATACTCATAGGATCACAAAGGAAGGTGCTGCTTCTGTGATGACTAACAACTTGCATAATTAGTCAGCTTCTGAATGACTGCTGAGTCACATCCTTGTCTACAAACTGCACACTCAGCACCTACTTCTAGGCTGTTCTTCTGTAATACACCTTTAATTCAGAGACTCAAAGAGCATGTCTCAGTAGAACTCCACTCATCCTCACTTCACAGGATTCTGGGAAGAGATTGGTTCTAGCTCTCTAGGCTCCTGAAATAAAAGAACAATCAATAGGAGAAAAAAATTGATCTGAGTGATGCGCTAGGCCTTTCATAGTTTCATAGTTAGCTAAAATATTATATTGTTGATAATTCTGACCTCTTTAACAGTCTTTCTAAAAGATTCCATTATGTGTCTAAAAAAGAGAAGCTTCGATTATAATTTTGGATACATAGAGGTCATTTAAAATAACATTATAGAATTGTAAACTGCACTAAGAGTTATATAGCCTTTCCTTTTCTTTATGAAACTTAGTCAGAATAGTAGTTCTTTTCTATACTATAGATGAGGTCTTTATTTTGAAATAGTATTCTCAGCATCATTCTCTAGCAGGATTACATCCATTCCATAAAGAGTTTATTCACAGCGTTTAACTTTTCAGTGACTAGTAAATTAAATTTATATCTTATAACCATCAATGCTTTTATATTACTGTTATAAATATTATAGTGTTGTGTTGCTTATTGGGCAACTTCCTAGATATCTGACACTGTGCTAAGCATTTTTACTGACTTAATGTACTTGACAATTCTACTATGTAGTTATCTTCACAGTTGCTTTGTATGTGTGGAAGCTGTGACAGAAAAGGCTTAGTGAGGGCTACTACAAGCTCTGAAACAGCTAAGAGTGATTCAGGTGATAGACTCTAATGTTGCCTCACCACTGGCATGGTCATTTTACTAGTACTCCAAAGTCTCCTTTATTTTCTGTGAATTTTTCTGTATTTGAACTTACTAAAGAATTAAAATGTGGAAACAGGTATGCACACAATTAAAGAATCAGTTAAAATGAAATAAACCCCCGAAATCTCTTAGAGTTCAGATAAGAGCATGTTTTTCTTTAACTACCAAAGTGAAAATGCTGCAACCATTTTAAGCTTACAAGTAGTACTATATTTTTATGAGAAATCTGAATCTAAACCAATTATATTGTTAAGAAACAATGATAAAGAAATATCTAAATGTCCCAATGATAGTATATTTCTAGAATTAGGTTATCTTAGACTACTGTGAAATATAAACTGTATATTCCAGAATTATAATAAATATTTTCAGTAGCTCTGTAATCTGATCATTATTATTGCTATCGTAAATTTCCTAAAAGAATATGTGTTATTAAAGTATCAACCTGAAATGCATCTGTAGATACATTTTTGTCCAAAAAGAAGCATTGTAACATTTTACAATTTCACCTTGCATGGATAGCACTGAAACTAATGTATCCTCAGTGTTATTGAAGCTTATGGATAACAGTGAATGTGCTGGCCATTTCTATCTTAAGTTTCTTTTCTCTCAACTTTTTTAAAGGTCATATTGCATGAAATAGTTCTCATGAGTTTTACATATCATAGTGTGATTTTAAGTACATGATTTTATTCTTAATAACAGAGATGTAATGTGTTGTAGCCTGTTGGCATTTAATTTTTCTTAATAGTGATGGTATGGCAGGATGGTTGAGCAGATAAAAGCTTGCTAGTGATCCAGGTGACCTAAATTTCATCCCTGGGACCATACATGAAAAGAATGAACCAACTCTCACAAGTTTTCTACTGACCTATGTTTGTACGTTTAGCAATTTTACACACACATGTACATATACAAACATGTACATGCACAATAAATAAATAAATGAAAAGAACTAACAAAGAGGAACTCAGACTATAATGTATGTATTTTCCCCATAGCTATAAATCCTGACTCCTGGCTTCAAAGTTCACTCATCACCTTTTAAATCTTCTTGTCTGTATGTCTGTCTTCTATCGAGTGAGGACTTAAAAATCAGTTTGTTTTGACTTTCTTTATTCACCTATTCTAAACTCAAACTTTTTAGCACTCTGTCATATATTTAAAACTTTTGACTGATCAAAACAAAGAAAAAGAAAAAATTCTGGGCAGTGGTGGTATGCACCTTTCATCCTAGCACTCAGGAGGCAAAGGCAGGCAGGTCTCTGTGAATTTGAGTCCAGCCTGGTCTACACATGGAGTTCCAGGACAGCCAGGACTGTTACACAGAGAAACCATGTGTTGAAAAGCCAAAAAAAAAAAAAAAACAAACACAAAACAAAACAGTAACAACAAACTTTTGACTGTTACTTAAAATCACAGTGTCTATATTACACATTTTTTCACAGTTTGTCACTAATAACCCAGAATTTACCTTAGAAAGAAAAGTCTTAAGAAACTGTCCATTAAATATTCATATGTGATGGGAAGTAGAAACTCATTCAATTTTATTTGTAGTTCCAGGTACAGCATTATGTCTCTCAGAGTCTAGTGACCCTAGGAAGTTGCAGCCTATTGAGGAAGTCTATTATACTGCTACTGCTATCTGAGGTGAACAGCTTTGTGGACCACCTGGGAGCCATCAATCAGGTACATGTCACTTGAAGCTGTAACTCGTTAACTTGTGCATAACACAACTATCAACTTTTGACTTTGTTTTCTTTTTTCCCTCCCTGTATTGATGTGTTGATTTGGTGGTAATTCACCCATTTCATTGTCTCTAATACATGTGAATATTTCTGCTTACTGGAATTACACAGGGTGCTTCAGTCAGTCAGGGTTTTGTTGGTAATATACAGTGAAATAGTGAAGGGGAAAAGATGGGCCCGAGAGGATCCTCAATAGAGAATGGCTCTTCTACCCAGTTGCCTGAGAGAACTTTCCAGGTGAACTTGAAATATCCTACTGTCAAGTCGTGTAAACAGAGGTCTCTGAAGTAGGAGAGTGGGCAATTAGTATGCAAAAGCATGCCTGGTAATCCCATTGTGTAGCCTAGACTTAACCCCAGTGTTCCCAGCCCTTCCGTCTGTACATTTTACATGTTACCTCTGACAAACATGTAGAAAGACTAGAAGCCATTCCCAGATCCTGATGCTGATAGTTGATGTTATATGTGTTTACCTTATAGTTACTTTATTCTTACTATCTCTATTGTACAATTCAGAAACACAATTAAAAAGAAATCAGAGATAAATTGGCATTTTTATATAAAAGTAAAATAATTGATTAATTCAAATATATCATGGAGCTTTAAGTTGCCTTTTAGCAAAGTATTTACCTCTGACTTCTCTGCAGTTAAAGGAATAGTCTTAAAACTGTTATTCTAGTCTTGTTCAGTGGATGACATGGTAAAATCTAGTCAGTAATTGTTTAGGTGATTCCAAGAGATAAGTTTATAAAGCCACTGTCACAGATCTAAAGGAGAAATAACTAAGTCAAGTTGACTACTGTAAAAAAACTGAAATGTTGAAATAAATGCTGGTAGTGTTTGTAGAAGTTCCAAGGTCAAAGAACTGGTCATGGTAGTTAACAAGCTCCCTAAGCCCTTCCTGTGAAAAGAACAACCTAAAAAATAGATTTGGAATCAGCAGAGACTAGCAGAACACGAAGGAACTTGACTGTTACATGTAATAAGAGGTTTCTTGGGGATTCTGGGGAAACATGATAGTTTTGGCACTTAACAGAAACCATTGTGGAAAATAATCTGAATTGAATTGAATTATTTATTTGGAGCATAAGAACAAGTTGAGAAGTCAAAATTTCATGTTTGTAGTTTAATTTAATTTTGAAGTAGCATCATACTTCTTATCCAGCTCATCGACATGGAACCAAGCCTTAAATCAATAAGACACTTGACCGTGACTTCAGAAGGACATTTGCAAAAGCCATAATTTAAACTTGGGTGTTCTGTTGTGCTACTTCAAAATAATAAAAAGGGAATTGGAGAGATGAGTTAAGGGTTAAGACTACTTACTGTTCTTGCAGAGGACCCAGGTTCAGGCTCAAGCAATCATCTCTGGGCATCTCCCAGCTGCCCGTAACTCCAGTTCCAGCAGATTCAATGGCCTCTTCTGGCCTCCAGGGATATCAGTTTACATTTAGTCCACGTAAACATATGCAGTTTTAAAAACACGAAGGAGGGAGGGTAGGAAGGCTCAAACAGCAAAAGTGAATTTAAATACTAAAATAGGGAAAACCAAAATAAGGCAGCAAACAATAACTACAGGCATTTATGTTAAATACTTCGCTTGTGCGCTCCTAATCAATCCTTTTGACAACCATCCAAATATTAGTATTGATCAAAGACAAAGAAACTGTAAGTCAGCATTTCTGATGGCAAATAGCAGAATGCAGTACAGCCAATTTAAACCAGTGGATTGATGAGCAGCTATGGATATTTGGGAATGGGCTGACTATAAGTATAAGTATAAGTATAAGTATAAGTATAAGTATAAGTATAAGTATAAGTATAAGTATAAGTATAAGTATAAGACTCTTGGTTGTACTTTCTTGAATGAAACCATTACCACACTGCAGAATTGGGCTACCAAGGGCTACCTTTGCTGCCATGACCAGGAGGTTGTATGCTGAAGCAGTCAGTGCTGGATCTTCTTTGGGGTTGGGAGTGTTATGTCTCAGCATGGGGTACAGATGCAGACTGTGGGAGCCCTGTGTAAGATCTAACTCACTACATCACTTCCTTTCATCTCAACAGTTTCTCTTAATAAACCAATAACAAAAACAAGGAAAGATAAATGATGTAGTTATATGCATTCTCCACTTATTTTAAAATGTGAAAAAGAGCTACAAAGCAATGAGTGGTAACTGTAGATCACGGTGTCCATCACATCTAAGACTCAGAGAGTCGGTACCATAGTCTTAGAGGATGACCAGTGTAGTACACAGTTGAAGAGCTTGCATATGGGAAACCAGAGGCAATGCAAAGGTACACAGTTGAAGAACAACTTGGATATGTCAGGAAGCCACTTATTCCCAGCTCTTACTACAGTGTGTGTACCAATAGATTCTAAAGAAAGGTTAATGTGAAGAGATTAAACTTAACAACAAAAACAAAAATATGACCTCTTCACAGATGTGGAAATATCACTGAAAGGAATGAGGCTATTATGGAAAAACACTCATGTGTGGACAGAGATTGAGTCTGGCTATGCTGAACGTGAGGAAGCATTGAAGTAACCTGAAAGTAGGCTGATGGAAATAGGAGACAGTCTTTGAAAAGGTCTTAGCAGATTCACAGTTGGGTACCTATCTGCTAGACAACACTAAAAAAGCAAAGTCAGTAACATGCCCTTAATGTCTTCTCTCTAGACATGAAAAACAACAACAGCAGCAACAACAACAACAACAACAAAAATAAACCCCAAAAACCAAAAACCAAAAAAAAAAAAAAAAAAAAAAAAGGGATGTATAGCCTTTAACCGTTAGGGGATAAAAATGAATTAATAGAAATAAAACTCAAATTGGGACTGAGAAGATGCCTCAGTTACTAAAAGCACCATATGCTCTTCTAGGGGTCCCTGGTTCAAATTCTAGTACCCATAAGGCATCTTAGATCAGGCAGCAAATCCTAAGTGATGCAACACCCTCTTCTGCCCACTGAGGGCACTCTACTCATGTGATACAGAGACACACAAGCAAAATGTCCATGCACATAAAATAAAATAACATAATGACATTGTTAGGTACTATAAATGTGTTATGATAGTTTAAAGACATCTATTACAAATCCATTAAATGTCTTAAGGAATATAAGAATGATAATAAGAAAATGGGAGATTTCAAAAATAATATTGAAAGCAGTATGTCTATGAATAAAGCATGGAAACCTAAGTAAATATAAAAAGAAAGGAATCCTCAGCAGTAAGCTTGATGATTTATATTAAGCACACATTCCCTAGTTGCCAATTTCCAAAATGAACTGAAGAAAAAAATAGAAGGTACATGTTCATTAATAATCAATTTCCCAAGTAAAAGTTCAGGATCAAATGATGCTATGCTTACACAAACTCCTGAACAATGGTTCGCAATCTGTAGGTCACTACCCATTTGTGGTCACATATCACATATTCTTCATATCAGATATTTACATTATGATTCATAACTAGCAAAATTATGATTTTGAAGTATTAAGGAAATAATTTTATGGTTAGGGGTCACCACAACATAAGGAACTGCATTAAAGAGTTAGAGCATTAGGAAGGTTGCGAAACACTGCTCTAGAGGATAAAAAAAATTTATGAGCCCAATTTAGAAGGTCACTGTTACCTATAAAAACGAGAAAAAGACACTAAACAGCAAATACCAAAGCCTCATGGTGAGAGCTTTCATGAACATAGAAAAAGAGACTGTATTAAATATTAAGAAATGGAATTGAGAAATATATGTCAGTAATAATACCAAGTAACCAAGTAGAATTTACTCAAGGAATAAAACAACATAATCACCACATTTTACAAAGTTTTAACAAGTGCTATTTCAGAGTATGTACAAAAGTCAATTGACAAAATTTATCCTTCATTCATGATCAAAGGAAAAAACATGCATATATTAAGATTCATCTGAGGAAAAGTTAGTTACCATACCCTAATGTAAAAGAAAAAGTGATTATTTTCCTGAACTGGGAACATAATCTTTTTTTTTTTAGTTTTTGTGAGATTATAATAGAATTTCAACATTTCTTCCTTCCATATCCTCCCTCCAAACCTGCTCATATACCCTACCTGCTCACCTTCATAGTAATGGCCTCTTTTCTCACTAATTCTTATTGCATGTATGTATGTATGTATGTAGACATATTTTGTAAATATAATCTGTTTTTTTTCAGTGTGTGGTTTCTGTGGTTATAGTAAGCCCTGAAAATAGAATATTTTTTATCATTTTCATTTAACAAGTGGGGCAGATGTACTTTTGGATTAATATAGGCCACACTATCATCATTTATAGTCAACATGGTCAGAAGATAGAAAATCTAAAATAATTTTCTATTGCTAGTGGTCTGTTAATAATTTCTCCTACATATTACACTTATTTTAAGGCAACTACATTGGGAAATATTGGTACAATGCTCAGTATGATAATGGGTAGAATATTAGTGGTCAGAAAGAGCATGAATAATTCGCAACAACAGGAAGATGGACTGGATAGGATTCCTAATATAAAAAGACTAACAGTACTGTATATTGAAAGGTGGATATCAATCTGAATTCATGAATTGTTATTGGGACTGTAACAAAGGCACACAGTTTCTCAGAAAGTTAAGCATTCTCCTAAACCACTTTTTGGCCGCACAATTCAATAACTATGTTCATATTTTAAAATTTAAATGAATGTTAGTTGCTTCTTTGTAATAATTTAGATGTTAAATATCCCCAATATGCTCCAGTATTTGAACAATTTTACTTGTCAGCTGATGGTGTTGTTTGGGTAGGTTTACGTAGTGTGCCCTTGCTGGAGGAAGTATGTTACTAGGGACAGGACAGTCTCTGAGAGTTTAAAACCTCACTCCTTTAGTTTGCTCTGTGCTTTGTGCTTGCATTGGAAGATGTGAGCTCTCAGCTACATGACCTTGC